TTTACGTGGCACTCTGTGTGTGTCTGGAGCAGCCGTGCACGGCTGCACTGGCGCTGTAAGTGCATTTGTGCCTTGCGCTGGTGTGTTGGTGCACCAGGACGGGGATGCGCTGCTGTGCGCACGCACATAATGCATCGTGTAAGCGCGCTTGCTGCGCTTGTGCATGGCTGCACTGGTGCCTTGGCGCAGGGATGCACCGAGCTGGGCTCGGGTGCAGGTGTGGGCGCACACAGGGATGTGGGTGCGTGGGCACATCGACCCACAGGTGCCTTGGGGCACAGGTGCATCTGGGCACGGCACACAGGTAGCCCTGGGCGTGGGTGCACCGGCACATCCACCCTTGCGTGTGCAACACGCCTGAGTTTTGGGTGCACTAGTGCCCAGGTATGTGATGCACAAGTGCTCTGGTGTGCATTTGGTCCCCCAGCCAGGCCAGGGTGCTTTGGTCCGTGCGTGTGTCTGGGTGTACCTGCGGGATGTGCAGGCTGTGCTGCACTCACACCCTCACCTGTGCCCTGGCGCGTGGGTGCCTTGGCTCCGTGGGTGCCTGCTGCAGAGCCCGGGGTGTGTGAGGTGCGTGGGTGTGCTGGCACACGGGCACGCCGGGATTTGCTGCGTGGGCACACTCAGCTCAGGGGTGCAGGGGTGTGTGGGGGGCACAGCCTGCGCGGAGGGGGCTCATCTCTCCCTCTCTCCTCTCTCCCGACGGCAGCACTCCAACGCCGAGTTCGCCAGCGTGGCCGCTCTCCTGGCCCACTACTCGGGGCCACCGGGGGGCTGCTTCTGCCGCCTGGCCCCCGGCCGACGCAACCCCGGCTACGAGGAGCGGGACCCCGGCGGCGGGGCCAGCGCCGGGGCGGGGGAGGCCGCCTGGGCCCCCGCCGCCCCCACCGGGGTGCAGCACGACCGGGGGTAGGCCCGGCCCCCTCCCCGCGCACGGCTGCCCCCGAGACCCCCGGCTTCCACTCGCTGCCTGCCTCATCCCCCTGGCCGGGCTGGCCGGTGCCTCCCGCAATAAAGGCTCTCGTGCATCGGAGCAGGGCTCGGCTGGTTGTTCACACCTGTCCACGCGGGACGCGCCACACACTGGAGTCCTCACACCTGTGAGCTCACACCTGTGAGCTCACACCCGTGTGCTCACGATCTCTGGCCCAGGCATCGCACGAACTCGCACTCGTGCGACTGCACCGTGCGTTCGGGCTCCTGCATGCTCCTGCGCTGCTGCAGCGGTGCACCGCTGCTCACGGGAGGTTGCACACCCACGCGGTCACTCAGCCTCGCCTGCACACGCAGGGGTCACAGCTGGGCACTGCTGCCATCGCACACTCAGAACCCTGTGCACACCTGTCCTCGTGCAACCCCCATTGTACACCTGTCACCGCATTGCACACCTGTCCTCACACACACCTGTCCTCACGCACCCCCATTGCACACCTGTCCTCGCGCACACCTGTCCTCGTGCAGCCCCCATTGCACACCTGTCACCCCATTGCACACCTGTCCTCGTGCACCCCCCTGCACACCTGTCCTCACGCACACCTGTCCTCGCATACCCCCATTGTACACCTGTCCTCATGCACCCCCTTTGTACACCTGTCCTCGTGCACATCTGTCCTCGTGCCCCCCTGCACACCTGTCACCGCATTGCACACCTGTCCTCGTGCAACCACCATTGCACACCTGTCCTCGTGCCCCCCCCATTGCACACCTGTCCTCGTGCACACCTGTCCTCGCGACCCCCATTGTACACCTGTCCTTGTGCACACCTGTCCTCGCGCACACCTGTCCTCGCGCACGCCCATTGCACACCTGTCCTCTTTGCACACCACCTGTCCTCGCGTACACCCGCACACCTGTCACTGCATTGCACACCTGTCCTCGCGCACACCTGTCACCGCATTGCACACCTGTCCTCGTGCACCCCCATTGCACACCTGTCCTCGTGCCCCCCCCTTTGCACACCTGTCCTCGTGCACACCTGTCCTCGTGCCCCCCCCTTTGCACACCTGTCCTCGCGCACCCCCATTGCACACCTGTCCTCGTGCACACCTGTCCTCGCGCACACCTGTCCTGGCACACACCTGTCCTCGCGCACCCCCATTGCACACGTGCGCGCGCCCCCGGCGGTCACGTGCCGCGGTGGGCGGGGTCTCGCTCCGGGCCGCGTGCAGTCCCTCGCGCATGCGCAGGGCCGCCTCTCGCCGCCCCCGCTCCGCCGCGCCCTGAGGGGTCCGTGCGCGCCTCCGGCCAGCGCGGCACCGGCGGGGTCACCTCAGGTTTTCCCGTGCTCAGTCCGCTCTGAGCGTGGCTCGGCTCCCAAAAGTTACCTCAGGGTTCCTTACCCTTGAGTTTCCCGCCCTTTAGCTTCCCCTCAGGGTTTCCCTCACAAACCTTCCCCTCAGGTTTCCTCCCCCCGACCTGCCCTAATTCTCCCTCAGACCTGTTCCCAGCTTTCCCTGCATCCCTCCCCAGCTCTTTTTCTCCATACTTTCTCCTTCCCCCCAGCCTCCCTCGCTCGGGACTCCCTTCCCCGCGTGCTCCCAGTGAGGGGTCAATGCTTCCTTCCCACAAGGGGTGCAGATGCCCGGGGTTAGGCTGACCCCAGAGCCCGGTGCCCCCCAGTCCCACCGAGTGAGTGCGTGTGGGGCTGGTCTGGGTGGGTGGTGTGACCTGTGGGGGGAGTCTGACCCGATTGTGTGGGGCTGACCCCAGTGTGTGTGTTACTGACCCCCGTGTGTGTCACTGACCCCGCTGTATGTGACTGAACCCCGTGTGTGTGACTGACCCCCGTGTGACTCACCCCAGTGTGTGTGTGACTGACCCCGCTGTGTGTCACTGACCCCAGTGTGTGTGTGTTACTGACACCCATGTCTGTCACAGACACCAGTGTGTGTGTGTCACTGACCCCGCTGTATGTGACTGAACCCCGTGTGTGTGACTGACCCCCGTGTGACTCACCCCAGTGTGTGTGTGACTGACCCCGCTGTGTGTCACTGACCCCAGTGTGTGTGTGTTACTGACACCCATGTCTGTCACAGACACCAGTGTGTGTGTGTCACTGACCCCGCTGTATGTGACTGAACCCCGTGTGTGTGACTGACCCCCTTGTGACTGACCCCAGTGTGTGTGTGACTGACCCCGCTGTGTGTCACTGACCCTACTGTGTGTCACTGACCCCCGTGTGTGTCACTGACCCCCGTGTGTGTCACTGACCCCACTGTATGTGACTGACTCCCTTGTGACTGACCCCAGTGTGTGTGTCACTGACCCTGCTGTGTGTCACTGACCCCCGTGTGTGTCACTGACCCCGCTGTATGTGACTGACCCCAGTGTGTGTGTGTTACTGACCCCAATGTCTGTCACTGACACCAGTGTGTGTGTTGCTGTACCCCATGTGTGTCACTGACCCCGCTGTGTGTCACTGACCCTGCTGTGTGTCACTGACCCCCGTGTGACTGACCCCAGTGTGTGTGTGACTGACCCTGCTGTGTGTCACTGACCCCCGTGTGTGTCACTGACCCCGCTGTATGTGACTGACCCCCGTGTGACTGACCCCAGTGTGTGTGTCACTGACCCTGCTGTGTGTCACTGACCCCCGTGTGTGTCACTGACCCCGCTGTATGTGACTGACCCCCGTGTGACTGACCCCGCTGTGTGTCACTGACCCCCGTGTGTGTCACTGACCCCCGTGTGTGTCACTGACCCCCGTGTGTGTCACTGACCCGCTGTGCGGGTGGCCGGGGCGATGGCCCAGAGGCGGTGAAGGTGGCCGTGCGCTGCCGGCCGCTGAGGGGGCATGAGGGGCCCTGGGGTGCCGGGCCATCGTCGGTGTGGGCAATGTGTGAGGCTGGTGCCTCGTGCAGAACCCCGCAGAGCCCCCGGCAGTTCTCCTTGGACGGGGAGCACAGCACCGAGCACATCTACAACGAGATCGCCCAGGTGGAGGTCAGTGCGCACCCAGGGCAGCCTGCACAGCAATTTTGGGCACCACAATGCAAGACGAAGTTACAGGAGCGTTTGGACAATGCTCTCAGGCACAGGGTGGGATTGTTGGAGTGTCCATGCAGGGCCATGAGTTGGACTCTGATCCTTGTGGGTCCCTTCCAGGTGAGGATATTCTGTGAACACATAGTTTGGGACAGAGGCTGAGGAGTTTTTTGAGGTGATCCCTAAGTGAAGCAGGATCTGCTTGACCTTCCCCATGCTGGAAGGTGTCCCTGCCCATGACAGAGTGGTGGAACGAGATGAACTTTAAAGTCCCTCCCAACCCAAACCATTTGGGATTCTCTTATGTATGGGCAGAAAGCCCTGTCCACTTCCTCAAGAGGTTTAGCTACAAGGCTGGGGAGCGGAGGAGAGCTGACAGTGTCACAGCAATAGTCTGAGAAATTGGGAAGAAACAAAACTTTGTTAGCAGCTAGCAGGGCACTGAGGAGAGAGTTACATTTAATTGTTTTAGGTGGATGTTTATATCATAGAATCCCAGACAGGTTTATGTGGGAAGGGACCTTAAGACTCATCCCATTCCCACCCCCTGCTGTGGGCAGGGACACATTCCACTGTCCCAGGCTGCTCCAAGCCCTGTCCAGCCTGGCCTTAGACACTGCCAGGGATCCAGGGGCAGCCACAGCTGCTCTGGTACCAAACTGATGATTTTAGGGACATTTTTACTGTCAAGTGAGAAACCTTTGAGCAGACAGGGAACCTCAGCCTGACTTAGACTGGCAAAAGGATAGGGGATCCCTTTGTTTCCTTGTTAGCAGATCAGCACAGGAAACAGCTGAGGTGAGAACTTGTTAAGCAAATAAAGACCACCCCCCCCCCCCAAAAGCTTTGTTAGAAGTAGTAACATGGATTAAATTACTTGTTTATGGTTTTAAGATGGAAGTTCCTGATCATGAGAACAAGCAGGGCTAGATATTAGAATAATAGGTTATTTTTTCCTTATTTAAACCTTAAGAAAATCAGTTATTTTTTTCTTTCTACCACACTTCCCTGGAACAGGGAAAAGTGATAGTGAGGAGCTTGTCAAGCAGAAATTATTCAAAACCAGAGACCATCCCTTTGGCCACCCCACAACCAACTATTGTTCTATTTGTCTCTTTGAATTTTCTAAGTTTTTATGCCCTATGGCAAAAATATTATAGTTTGCTAAGTGTTGGTGTTGTCAACTGCTTTTCAACACCTGCACTGCTTCAAGAGTCCCTGTTTTGAGAGAAAAACATTGATTTATATGCTAATTTTGTAATTGCTATACTCTGATGGCGTGTGAAGATTTAAGCATCCGTTTGATGTTTACTTCCAGCTCTTCCTTTAAAAATACCTTTTAGGGGGTGGGAATGCATCTGGACAATGTTTTTCCAGTTAGGCAAAGAAGATGGTTGTTTTCTTTGGTTTTCCCCTATTTCCAGGGTGTCATGGAAGGCTACAATGGCACCATCTTTGCCTATGGCCAGGCTGTCAGTGGGAAGTCCTTCACCATGCAGGGAGCTGTGGATCCTTCCTCACAGAAAGGGATCATTCCCAGGGCATTAGAACACATCTTTGAGAGTGTACAGGTGGGTGTGAAAGAGATCCTCTTGGTAAGGTTTTGCTAGAAACACTTTGGTGTCCTGTGCCAAGAAGTGAGTGCTGATGGCATGAAGTGTGAATGGGGACAGGTTTGGGGTGCACTGCTCCTCATCCTTAAGATGAGGCCTGTGCATAGTCAGATGAACTGCACCCTCATGCCAGGTGACACTGTGGACTCGAGGTGTGGAAGGACCAGAAGTCCCATGCAGTGATTGTTGAGTGGTTCCACCTGGAGTCAATGGCCAGGGGAGGTTGGATGAGGTGCTGAAGGGTGGTGGTGGGCACCCAGCTGTGGGAGGGACTCCCTGGGCTGCCTGTGCTGTGCAGCCTCACCCCAAATTCTCCCTGTGCTCTGCAGCCTCACCCCAAATCCTCCCTGTGCTCTGCAGTGTGCTGAAAACACCAAGTTCCTGCTGAGAGCCTCCTACCTGGAGATCCACAATGAGGACATAGAGACCTTCTAGGAGCTGACACCAAGCAGAAGCTGGAGGTGAGGTGGGCTCAATGTGTCTTAATTAAGTGCTTTAATTAGCTCAGATGGGTGTTACCACAATTTACTGAAGTGCAACAAAGGTGCCTGTCAGAAGCTTGAGTGCCAGAATATGAAGTTGCATGAGGAATATGGAAGCTAAGAGGGACTTTTGAGGGACTTTAGTGAAAGTTTAGGAATTTTTTCCATGCAGTTGGAGACATGTCCAGTGTATCCCACATGATAGTGGCTGATAGCTCAGCAGCAGCTCTGTGAAAATCCTTCACTGGACAAGGATAAAATGAAGTGCTCATGGGACAATTTCTTCATCATCCTTTTCATCTTGTGCTTGTCTCTAAAGCAAGAGGATTCTGGGCCTTATAAATGTTTAATCTGATCTAGTGAAGCCATGGATAATCTCTTTATCTGCCTAAATCAAAAAGGCTGATCCTTTTTGAGGGCACACAGCAGATATTACTCCCCATGGGAACACATGTGACATTTACAGGACCATAGGAGGGTAAACTCTCCCAAAATCCTAACCAGGGGGCTAATCTTTATAAAATTTAACTCCTGTTGGCTTTGCAGATCCTTTTGTATGTATTCCTGGAGGGATCTAGAAATTTGTCCCAATTTACTTCCTTGCAGGACTGCCCCGGTGTACAAAACCAAGGCAGTAACAGCCTGCAGCATTCTGGGATGTTAACAGACCCAAACTGCCCTACAGGACAGGTATTTCTAACAGGTTTCCTGCTTTAAGGCAGGCAAACCCCTGTGTGCTCCACGTTCCAAGCGTGCTTCGCCTGTCTCCTGCAGAGGGAGAGTGGGAGAAGGGGACTTGTTGCTGCAGTTTCCTTTCCTTTGTTCCACAGCGGCGGTGACACGGGTTTCCATGGCGATGCGGTTGGCACCGGGCGGGCAGGAGATGGGCAGAGCAGTTTCCAGGGTAACTCTGCCTGTTGCTGCCTCCACTGAGTACTTCAGGGAGTGTGTCCTGCCGAAATAAATCCCAGGCTGCCCCACTGCATTCCTCTGAGCCCCCCAGTTCCCCCAGAACCAGTTGTATTCATTCACCTCAGTGACTACAGCATGTCTTTGGTCAGGTGTTCCTCAGGGACTCTGCAACACCCCCAGACAGAGCAAGGCCAGTCCTGGGGTTCTCAGTAGCACAGAGCAGTCACAGTGTATGAACACTGCCTGTGACTGAACCTGGATTCATCCCGGTCATCGTGGCTTTGGAACAAGGATAAATCCCACCCAGTTAAGTGTTCAGCCACTTTTGTTCTGTTCTGTGGGATTTTTTTAACAGCAAACGCTGTTTTACATTATTTCTTGATGAGCATCACTGAAGTATCTGAGCCTCCTCTTTGGAAGTCACAGTGTCAAATGTGGTCTCTGTTGCTCTATCATGACAACTATATCTCAATATCCCAGCTGACAAGATAAAGATAATTTTGGTGATGAACTTAGCAGATGTGGGGTGTAACAGAGCTGTGGAAAATTCATTTAGCTCATTTAAAATTCCCATTGTGGAGGGGGCTGGTGTAGGAGTGCAGGGATCTCTGGATTATTTTGTATTTTTATGTAGGCTTGATGGGTAAATTAAAATTTTGGATATTTCCATTGCTTATTAAAATTCATGAAACTTTTCATCTGTGCAATTGATAATTACTGAGAAGATGCTATTGGGTATTTAATTCTCTGTCTCAACCCAAGGTCCCAAAGACGATTTCTGTTAATTTAAAAATTAATTAATGTGGAGAAAAATGGTGACAGTTCACCTGTGTGTGATGAGTGGTACTTTGGGAATGTTGTCAGTGATCTCAAGCCACCCACTCAGAGCAGTGAGTTCAGCAAAGCACCAGGAACAATATCTGGGAATATTGTATCTGTGCTTTGATATTAAAAAAAGCTTCCTATGACTGAGGAGATCTTACAGCCTTTGCCATAATAGGTGAGATGTATTTTGATTCTTGTTTAAAATATGCAGCTTAATAATAGAGAAGGTGGAGGGTGGATAGAAACCAGGTTCCCCATGGCCTGGGGGATGTCTGATTAAATCAGCAACTTTTAACTTGAATTCTCTGAGCAGCTGTGGCTGCCCCTGGATCCCTGGAGGTGTCCAAGGCCAGGCTGGACAGGGCTTGGAGCAGCCTGGGACAGTGGAAAGTGTCCCTGCCCATAGCAGGGGGTGGAATGAGATGAGTCTTGGGGTCCCTCCCAAATGAAACCATTCAGGTCATATCACCTAACAATTCCTTCATTGAGCTTAATCATAGGGCATATTTTTAAAAGATGGAATTAAATAATCCCTTAATAAAGTTTTAGTGGCTAATTTTCCTTTCATGAATATCTTACTGGCATTTCTTTAGTTGGAAGAGCTGCCTCTCTGAGTCTGAGCAGGGGCCTGAAGAGGGTTTTTCTGGGACCAGAAAAGAATTAATCTCTGCCTTGTGTTTGACCCCAGCTGAGAACAGCTTGGCTTTGCTTTCTTCAGCTGTTCCAGTCATGGGGAAAGTTCCACAACATCTTCCAAAATTGTGGTTCCAGATGTTGATGATAGTACCTCATTTTCTACTCAGTAAGTGAGGCATTTGGAGAGTTTCTCAATTACCACAGATACTGGATGCATTGTGGGGGTCTGTAAAATCCCAGCAGGTAAGAAGCATTTGCACTCCTCCTCTGTGCTCAAGATTGGTGCAGGGCCCTCAATCTATCCTGAATTTCTCTGATTTAAAGCTTTGAAAACTTGACATGGAATGAGATAGCAGATGGGGAACCTGCAGCTTTGGCAGTTAAAAACAGATGGAAAATTTGAGGAGAAAGGTGAGGGCACTGGCCAGTCCCCATAAACTGGATAGTTTGGTTGGGGTGAGCATTGGCTGACAGAATTGAAGAAGTTGGTATTTCTTTTGTCATCTTTAGGCTTCATAACAAGTACAAACTTATTTTCTGGGTGAGCCTCTAGTAAATAATAATTTACGGGGACTTGATATTTTAAAGGGACTAAAATTACTTTTTTTAAAGTAACACATTCAGGAATTGTGAAAAATACTGGGTTCTTGGCTGCAGATGTTTGAAACATGCAAGTTCCCATCAGTATTTTTACTTAGATTTTTACACCTTTTAAAAATTTTATTTTTTATACTTATTTATTTTTACAGTATTTTTATTTAGATTAGCAGATGGTTTATTCCTTTAGTTGTGTGCTTCTGCCATCAGCCCAGGCAATGGACTGACAGGGAATTAAGGAAGATCTTTAGGCTGCTGCAGACATTTTAGTAAGAGTCTGGGGACTTTCTCACACCATGGGAGCTAATCCATGAACTCTGAGCTGGAAACAAACAGCCTCGGTGGGTAAAAGGACTGGCAAGAACCAACACAGCTTTTTGATAGCCTGGCAGCATTTATATGAGCTAAGGGAAGAAGGGAAAGGGTTAGGAAACCTATTTTTTTGTGGCTGCCCACTCACCCCAGCACTCAGAAAGGATAAGGAGAGGGTGATCTCTTTAAGCCCCATGTGTTTTTACTGTTTTCCCGTATCTTGACACATGAGAATGAGCTGGAGTGGAGCAAGTTTGCTCAGCAGCAAACATTAAACTCCACAGTTGCCAATCTGTTGTAACAGATCCACAACTAACAGCAAAATTTCCCAATAATTCTATTTCAAGGACACTGTCAGGGGCTGGAGAACAGGGCTGGGATAGGAGGGATGCAGGCTCGAGACTGGTGCTCAGCCCATCTCAAAATCAACCTGGCTCAATGTTTTTTCTGTGTGAGAGCTGTCCTGAGAGAATTCCCTCAGCCAGAGTACTCCAACACATACTGAAGCAGCATGGGGGCTTGGGCTGCTGCAGAAATACATAATTGAAGCAAATTCTGCTGATTTTTCACTTACTCCATTGTGTGGAACTATATACAATTAGAAAAGCTGTGAGAGGGTCTGATTCTGAACAGTTGTGTGGGCTTTAACCAGTCTTTCAGCTTTCCTGTGGTGTATGCTCACTCTGTTTGGTCTCTCCTGGCTCAAAAAGGAGATGCTATGACATGCAGAACAGCAGTGTCTGTAATTTGTGGGCAATTCTGTCTGTTAAGGGAGAGCTCTCCAAAGAAACCCTTCGTTTGAATTTGATATCAAATGTTAGTGGTCCTATTGCAAGAATGAATCCTATTCCTTCTGTGGCAAACAAGGGAAAATGTCCTTCTAATCACATTGTTACATCCAGGTTCTGTGCAGATTGGGCAGGAGGGTTTGGTTCCACAGGTGTGGGGATTTCAAAGACACCTGCTGAAGCTTTACACATCAGGGCAGCTCAGCAGAGCAAGGATTGAATCCTTGGATTCGGTGTTAAGCAAAGGAAAGGGAAGGTCGGTGGGGAGGAGCAATGCAGCAGAATAGCAGGTCAGTTCTGGGGGAGAATGAGCCCTTTCACAGGGTTTGGAGATAATTAGGAGGCTGTTATCAGTAAAGGGGTTATCAGCAAATTTGAGCCAGAGTTGGCCAGCCTGAGCTATCTGCTCTGCTCCAGATCCTGTGCAGACAAAGGAATGGCTTTGGAGCATGGCTTTATTTCCACGTCAGAGCATGACTTCAAACACAGGCCTGTGCCAGTGCTGCGTTAACAATGCTGAGGTCACAGAAATCATCAGCTTTGGCCCCAAAATGGAAGCCACACTCTGGTTTCAGATCTAACACTCCCACATTCATAATTTAAAATAATTTTCTGTGTAATTTTGGTACTTTTTGTGCATATTTAAAAAAAAAAACTTTAACATAATATATTCCATGTTTATTTAAATAAGAATTTAAATATAAAGTACACAAAACAAGAGTTTTAAAGATAATTTTGTGAGCTTAGATACGGATTTCTGGACATCCTTGTTGACTGAGGTGCTTGGAGTAATACATGTGTATTTTGCCCAGAGAAGCTGTGGCTGCCCCGTGATCCCTGCAAGTGTCCAAGGCCACGTTGGAGAGGGTTGGAGCAACCTGGGAGAGCAGGAGGTGGCCCTGCCCATGGCAGGGGTGGGATGAGATGGACTTTAAGGTGCTTCCCAACCCAAACCATTCTGGAATTCTTTTTATGACAGAAACTGTTAATAATAAGTAGGATTTGCTATGATTACTCAGGGCAGAAAATCTTATCATAATCCTCAATTTTCTGTGTCTTCCCAAATGTCACCCGTGGAAGGACGTGCATCCTCCATGCTTGTGAAGCTGGTTCTTGAGCTCAGTGTTCCCTTCTGCAGGTGCTGGAGCAGCAGGTGGTCAGGGGGGAGCAGGCTGAGAACAAGGACCTGAAGGAAAAGCACAAACGCCGGAGGAAATACGCGGGAGGCTGCAGCTGGTGGCTGCCCTGCAGCAATCCCTCGAGGACAGCAGCAAGCAGGCTCTCCTCAATGTCCAGGACTCCATCCAGGAGGAGGTTCAAGCCAAGGGCAAGGTGCAGGAGAAGGTGAGAGAGCAACTCCTTCCTCCTCCACATCCCCATTTTTTACATTACAGAGCTGTAGTTTAGAGAGTGCCTCTGGCTGTGTCAGTATTTCATACACCACATTGTGTGTGAGCTTTTATGAAACCCCTCAGGTGGGGGATTAAGCTTTTGAAGCCCAAACCCCCCAAGTTGTAAAGGCTCAGTGTGTGACACTTGCCGGGAGGAGCATGTGTTGGGATGGGAGGGGATGCGACTCCCTCTGCCGACCTCCAGATCTGCTGCAGCTGCTTCCAGTTCTGAGCACGCTCTCTGGGGCAAAAAACAAAGCATAAAAGTAATGCTCTTAAATTTTACATTTAAAAATCTTCATTTTCAAAGCACTTAAAAATCAGTTTTGCTCTGATATTTTGTGACAGAATCAGTGTGCCTGCAAAAAAAAACTTACATTTTTGTGTACAGTCCTAGACCTGCACATGAAGGACTTGCTTTATTTGAGTATTTAGGTTATCAAAGAAATATTGCACCTTTTTAAACCAAAGTTAGGAAATTCCAGGAGTTCAAAGACCACATCAGTAAGATTAGCTTCAGGTTCATTCAAAAATCATCCCTGTGGAGAAACATGAGAAAACTTCCTTTAAAACAGACATGGAGTAATCTCTCAAAATAAATTTAATCCTAATTTGTACCTAAATTAGAAAACTTTTCAAATATTAAAGCTTTCCTGAGTATCTTTCTCTGCTTGGCGAATTCCTTGTGGTATGCATTGGTCTCTCTGCCTTATAACCCTGATGGTTTGTATCCAGCTCTGGGCTGCCGAGATGGAGATCAAAGACCTGCAGTTGGAGTTTGGGCTGGAGAAGATGGATAACCTGAGCACCATCCGGCACCAGGAGCGAGACCTGCTGCTCTGCCAGCAGCTGCTGGGTCAGGTGCAGCGTGCCTGCAACTACAGCAACCTGGAGACGATCAGGCCTGTGGGACAAGGAGAGCGGCTGCTGGAAAATTCCAGAGCCTGTCATTCAAAGAACCCAGCTGCCCGCAGGTAAGGGGAGGGCGCTGGGGGAGACATAGAAGTGATGATGGTGGGCACTCCAACTTCCAAAGTTGTCTGGAAAGTGTGAGCAACAAAGGTGGCATGTGCTGCGGATCCCTCGGGAATCTGAGCAAGGAGTGCAGCCAGCAGAGTGGTGATTGTTCTACACACAACAACCCTTAACGCCATCTCTTCCCACGGCAGCTCCAGCCCTGCCACAGCCCAAACCTGGCCGGACAAGCCCCTCGAATGAGAGCAGGGAGTCAGCGGTACGGCAAATTCCTCCTCCATTTCTATCCCATTTTACCCATTTTGCCTTATTGCTGGCGCTGCTGACAGCGTTTGCCACCTGCAGCCCGAGGAGGACTACTACAGGCTGGTGCTGGACACCAGCGACAGCGAAACCATCGCCAGCAACTGCTTCGGATCCCGGCGAGCCAGCCGGATTCTTCACCTGGACCAAGGTAATCCCCTTTTTCCACATATGGCTGGCACTCTTCATTTTCCTTCTTTTCCTTGAGAAATCAAGCAGCGACCCACCCAGGATCAATTCTGCCTCAACCCCTTGGCTTCTCAGGGGTTTCTCTCATTTTGGGTCCTGCACTGACCCACCACGCCCCCTTCCTCTCCTCTGGCAGCTCCTGGCCTTGGCTCCCAGCGCCGACACCGAGCGCAGGAGGGAGGGGATGGCGGCGGGGCCCTCCCTCGTCCGCGGCCACGGCGCTGAGTCGCGATCGCGCTGTCGCGACAGCGGCCATGACGGGGCGCGACGGCGCTTGCGCGGCGTCCCAGCGTCGCGGAGCTGTCTGTCGCTGATTGGCTGGAGGCCGCCCGGCTCTAGCGTTGATTGGCTGGAGGCCGCGCAGCTCTAGCGCTGATTGGCTGGAGGCCGCCCGGCCCTAGCGCTGATTGGCTGGAGGCTGCCAGCCCATGGGGAAGTTGTGGGAGCGGAGCAAGATGGCGGCGGGCGCTGTGGCGGTGTGCGCGCTCCTGGCGGCGCTGGCGGCGGGCGCTGAGGGCGGGCCCCGCACGCTGGTGCTGCTGGAGAACGGCAACCTGCGCGACACGCACTCCATGTTCTTCCGCAGCCTCGCGGGTACCGGGAGGGCCGCGGCGGGATGCCGGGAGGGGTTGGATGGGGCGGGGGGAGCGGGCTTGGGGACCCAGGGTCAGGATAGGGGAGGAGGTTGGGGTTACCTGAGGGAAAAGGGAATGCTTGGGGTCTTCGGGTGAGGCCGAGGGAGGAGATTGGAGTCCCCTGGCTGGGCTGGGGGCGCAGCCAGGGGTTCTTTGTTGGAAAGGGGTCCTCTGTCCTCTGTTCAGGATGGGAGAGAGATGAGGGTCCGCTTGGGGAGAGGGGGGTGTTGGGGTTCTCTGTTCAGGATGAGGGAGGAGATTTGACATGCTGCACCGGGCAAAGGGTGGAAATTCTAATTTCCGGGCAGAAAAGGGGGGTGTTTGGGGTTCCCGTGTCAGAGTGAAGGAGGAGACTGGGGTCTGCTGTCAGGCTGAGGAAGCAGATCGGGGTCCCTTGAGGGAGAATGGGGGGTTTGAGGACTCCTGGTCAGTCTGTGAGGTGTTGAGGATGCTGTGCCTGCATGAGAAAGGAGATTGGATTCCCCATGTCAGAATGGGGGAGGAGATCGAGATCCCCTGGTCAGGCAGAAAAGGAGATTGGTGTTGCTGGGGACAGGGGGTTGTTTGGGTTCCTCTGGCCAGAATGAAGATTTGTGTCCCCATGTCAGGCTGAAGGAGGAGATTGCGAGGGGGGTGCTGTTGGAGTTCCCTGGTCAGGCTGAGTGAGAAGGAGACCCCAAGAAGAGGAGGAGATTGGGGTTCCCTGGAGGGGGGGCAGGGTGTGGTATGACTGTTTGGGGTCTCGTGGTCAGAATGAGGCAGGAGATGGGGGTTGCTTTCCCAGCTGTGCTTGTGTTTAGCTCTCCTTCAGCATCAGTCCCTGTTTGATGGATGACAGTGAGGCACCCTTTGACATCAGGGCTCTTGAGGGAATCCACCCCTTGGGTTTATTTGGGAACTCTCAGGTGCTGCTCTTAAATAGCCTCTGCTCTTAAAAAGCAGTTTTTCCAAAGTGATCCTTCACTGGGGTAATAATCCTCTGACTCCTACTGCAGTTTTGTTGCTCCATGTGTGGTTTCATGGCATACAGAAGTTGTCACTTTTGTGTCCTGGCTGCAGACAGGGGCTTCGACCTCACCTTCCGGACAGCAGATGACGCCGGCCTGTCCCTGATAAAGTACGGGGAATTCCTGTATGACAACCTCATCATCTTCTCCCCATCCATAGAAGGTAAATGTGGAGGGGAAAACTCTGGCATTTTTGGAAGGGGATTTCTAGCTGTTCTGTGAATTTTAGTTAAGTCCTACGCTTTGGATGTACTCAGTAGCAAACTGCAGCTCTGTCCCAGCCTTCATTGGTGGTTCTTCCATTTATTTGGTGATGTGGTGGTTTATCTCTGCCAGGGGCTATTTTTGAGCTCTAGCCATGAATTCTTGCTGTTTGCTTTCAGACTTTGGTGGGAACATCAATGTGGAGACCATCACCGCATTCATTGACGGCGGCGGCAGCGTCCTCGTCGCCGCCAGCTCAGACATCGGTGAGTGCAGGTGTTCCTCCGGAGAATTAATTCACTGCAGCAAAACCAGCTGCTCCTTGTGCACCTCAGGGCTTGCTCTGGGAGGAAATGGGTCATTCATGCCTTTAGTAACACGTTCAGTGGGAATTCAGTGAGGAGGTCGTGTTTCTCCCTGGGTTTGGCTCATAGAGCGTTGAGCACACGACTCTCAGCTGAATTTACTTTTGAGTTGCTGTGTCGTGTGACAGAGGATCCCTTGTGTCCCTGCAGGTGACCCCCTGCGAGAGCTGGGCAGCGAGTGCGGGATCGAGTTTGATGAGGAGAGGACAGCGGTCATCGACCACCACAACTACGACATCTCCGACCCCGGCCAGGTAAGGGCCTTGCCTGCTCCTTCTGGCTGCTTTAACGTGGGTGCAGAGCTTTAGGGGTGAATCCTCTGTCCTTGTGCTCCCATTCTTCCTCCATCCCTTGTCTCCCACCCTCCTCCCAGGAAGGTGGGAAATAATCCCTGTTGCAGCATTCAGTTCTGCTGCTGTCAGGACTCTTCAGGCTCTGGTTTCAGATGGTCACCATGTACAGGCAGTGGGGCTGTGATTAATGCTGGTTCTGGATCCCTCTGAAGCTTGGGGGGAAATCTCACCTGAGGGTGAAGCGTGTCAGACACCGAGTGCAATGCTTCAGGTGTGAGAAGGGAGATCTTCAGTCCCAGATTTTTAGCTCAGTATAGAAACACACAAGCAGTTCTACAATTTCCCTGCCTGGTGTAGTCCAGCATTTTAAAATTAAAACACATATTAAAGTCTGAGCTAAATATACTCTGGTAATTTTTGTTTAAGGTAAACTGTTGAAGCAGTATGTACGTGCATGTTGTCCTGATTTGAGGATGAAGGTTGCTAAATGCAGAGAAATAAAACACTGTAGGTGTTGCTGTCTTTATCAATGGCAGTTTGTATTTCCTTGAAGATCAGTATTAATTTGATCATAAACACAAAAATGCTGTTGTTTTGCTTTTTAATTGAACTACTATGCTCACCCAGTAGTTGTAATTGTCTGTAAAAATAAACTTTTAACTGAGAAGCTGTTGTTTGTCATTAGACCCCTCTCAGCTCACATGGATCTCTCTTGCTTCCCCAGCACACGCTGATCGTGGCTGACACTGAGAACCTCCTGAAGGCCCCCACCATTGTGGGGAAAGCAGCACTGAACCCCATCCTGTTCCGAGGAGTTGGGTGAGCAGCAGGGGGTGAGGTGGGGGAAGAGCAGTTGAACCCGTGGTGTTGCTGCGAGGTGAGGTGGGGTCAGCCTCTGGGGCTCTTAATGTGAGCTTAACAAATCTCTCTTGATTTCAAACAAAAATAGAAGGAAATCCTCCAAACTAGTTTAGTTGTTGACTTAGGAATGTTTGCTAACAAAATAGTGGAGGAAATAGTTTCTCAGCAGGTAGAAGGGTGAGAAGGTCCATGGGGTTGAGGAGGTGGCCACATGTTCCTCTGGGTGCAGGGACCCTGACGGTGTTTGTTCTGCTCACTGTGGCTTTCCCTGCAAGGATGGTGGCTGATCCTGACAACCCATTGGTGCTGGATATCCTGACTGGCTCTTCTACCTCTTACTCCTTCTTCCCAGATAAGCCCATCACTCAGGTACGCTCCCTTCCTTTCTCTCCTGTTTTGACCTGTGTTTCTGAAATTTAGTCCCTCTAGCTTCAGCTGCTTGGGAAAATCCTGGAGTGTTTGATCTCCTGACTGTTTTTGAAAGGATTGGGCTGTTGGCTGCTTCCTGATGTTGTCTTCCTCTCTGCTTTCTGCTGGTGAGGAGGTGTTCAGTGTGAGTGACACGTGAGGAGAGGCCAGCCTAGATCAAAGCATCCCAGCTGGAGTGGTACCAGAATCCTATTCCTGCTTTTTCTGAGCTTCGTGGTTACTCCTTAATTGCAGCCAGTGCTACTACAGCCAGACTGTCCCACCCACAGCAGAGTGCTGTTGGTGCATCCCCAGGTGGGCTGAGCCCGGTTCCCGTTTGCTCCGCAGTACCCGCACGCGGTGGGGAAGAACACGCTGCTGATCGCGGGGCTGCAGGCGCGCAACAACGCCCGCGTCGTCTTCAGCGGCTCCCTCGACTTCTTCAGCGACGCCTTCTTCAATTCTGCTGTGCAGAAAGCGACTCCCGGCTCCAAGAGGTGCGTTGGCTTCCCTGCCTGAGGAGTGTTTGGGGACCGCTTTGAGGGCACTACTCCTGGGAAATGGGCAACAGATGTTTATGTTTTGTGAAGGAGCAGAAAGCTTGAATTGGGGTGGCACATCCTTTACTGTGTCAGAACAGAGCGCTTTGGAAAGCAGCTCCTCCCTTTCACCTCAGCTCAATTTGTGTTGTTTTCACCTCTGTTTGCCTTGGGTTTGGGCCATGGGGTACTTTCTCGGCTGTCTCAGCCTCCCTTGTTGCGCAGGTACTCCCAGACAGGTAACTACGAGCTGGCCGTGGCCCTGTCCCGCTGGGTGTTCAAGGAGGAGGGCGTTCTGCGCGTGGGCGCCGTGTCCCACCATCGCGTCGGGGAGCGGGCACCGCCCAACGCCTACACCGTCACCGACCTCGTGGTGAGGCTGCCGGGCGGGCAGGGCCTGCAGGGAGGAATGGGGCAGCGCTGGGGCTCGGAGTGGGCCAGGCTGGTTTACAGGCATCGCTGGTTAATCTGTCCCAGGAGTACAGCATCGTGATTGAGAAGCTCGCTGACGGCAAGTGGGTGCCCTTCGACGGGGACGACATCCAGCTGGAGTTCGTGCGCATCGACCCCTTCGTGCGCACCTTCCTCAAGAGGAACGGTAGGTCCCCACCATGGGGAGCGGGAGGTTCCCCCCTAGGGGAGCAATAGGTCCCCCTCAAAAGGAACAGGGGGTCCCCATTGCTGCCCTGGCCCCACATTTGGGGGTGTTTTCACCTTCCACAGCTTCTCGTGTCCCCTCAGTGTCACCCATTTCTCCCTCAGGTGGCAAATACAGCGTGCAGTTCAAGCTGCCTGACGTCTACGGCGTGTTCCAGTTCAAAGTGGATTACAACCGGCTGGGATACACCCACCTCTACTCCTCCACACAGGTAGGCACAGGGGAGTGAATGCTCCTTGTCCCAGGAGAAAAGGCTGCCCCAGGCTGCTGGACTGCAAGGGCTG